GTGAGATCGCGATGAACTGAAGTAGCCTAAGTGACACCTTTTAGTGTTTGTAGAGTAAGGGCTATTTGCACACTTAATATAATCTGTTCAGAATTTGAATAAAAGTTTTGTTTTTTGTGCTGCTAACAGCCATATACCCTATACATTACAGCACAGTTTCAGGAGTGACATTTTCGAATGGGAGAAAAATATAATTTCTCAAAACAGATGTTCAAGAAATGCAGACTAAAAGATTAATAAAAATGTCAGAAAAATATTTTTAAAATGCGGTTGCAATTATAAAAGTAGCTAATGACTAGTTAATCTTGCAATTCTTTCACTGTACATTGCAATTCTTGTTGTGGTAAAAAGTTAAAAGTTTTGCAGCACTGCAACAATCATTTATTACATGATTTTATGATAAAAACAAAGTATGACATAATGTCCAGATGTCAGACAAAACTCATGGCAGGTGTTTTATATATTTTATTGTATATATATATAAACCCAAACCGCTGTGGAAATTCTCATTCAAGTTGAACTCAAAAGTTGGCAGCCCTGCCTAACCAGGGATGACACATACACAATGAAAAAATCTACAAACACCTACATATAGTCAACTAGACCAGTAATTATAGCACAGTATTAAGGCACAGTAGGCCTATAATCTAAAACAGAAACAAACAGAAGGGAAAGCACAAATTTCATAAAATGTAATTGTCATCATGAAAGGGGTAGTTCACCCAAAAATGAAAATTTGCTGAAAATTTACTCAGCCTCAAGTCATCCCAGATGTAGATGAGTTTGTTTCTTCATTGGACCAGATTTGGAGCAATTTAGCATGACATCACTTGCTCACCAATGGATCCTCTTCAGTGAATGGGTCCCACCAGAATGAGAGTCCAAACAGCTGATAAAAACACCACAATAATCACTAGAGAAAGCAAAATTATAGACAAAGAACTTGTATTTATCTTGAAACAACAGTTTAAAGTTAAAAAATGTCTTGATGTATTTGTATGCATGTATGTATGTATGTATTTGTTTCTTACACTCTAAAAAATGCTGGGTTAAATACAACCCAGTGCTGGGTAAAATAGCTACACACCCAGCAATTGGGCTGTTTTGAGCCAGCGGTTGGGTTAAATGTTTAACCCAGCCTTCTGGGTAGTAACCCAACCGCTGGGTCAAAACAACCCAATTGCTGGGTTTGTCCCTATTTTACCCAGCACTGGGTTGTATTTAACCCAGCATTTTTTAGAGTGTACAAACAGCTTTTCACTTCACAAGACTGACTGCAGTCAAGTGGATTACTTGTTGTGGATTATTGTTAGGTTCTTTTATCAGCTGTTTGGACTCTAATTTTTACTGTCACCAGTACACGGTTGGTAGCCTACTTCAAAAAAGTAGCAGCACAGTCAGGGCGGCAAAAAGGACAGAGATTTTAGTTTATCTTTCGGGCATTCTTTGGAATTATTGCACTCATATCAAGTTATCACCCCTTAGTTATTCTTAGTAACTTAGCTTCATAGTAATGCCGCTCCCGCGCTGTGCCCCACCTGAGCAGCGTCAATATCACATGCAAACCACCCTCATGTACTTCCATAAATGTCATCAAAATGAATAAAGCTATCCGAACATGAATGACTTTTGCTACTGGTGATGTCTGATGAGTTTTAAAGCCCGACGCGCGCTTCTGAAAGGTAAGATTATAGCCTACTGTGAGAGAAAACGTGGGGGAGACACAGGTGGATACATCCACGTACATCCAAAAAAACAAAAACAAAACAAAAAAACACGGTTTTGGACCAAAACCGTATTTAGTTTTGTTTTTTGCCAGGTAGCCTAGATATTTAGCCTTTATCATTTATAATGCTACGAACAATGTTTAATTTGTAAATTGCGAGGTCCCGGAATAAAGCGGGTTGAGGATGGAGAGGTAATGGAGCATTCGCACAATCATTTAGTGGACCCACTTAAGTGATTATCAGCTTGCATCAGTTGCTTTTATAGTATGCACATATACTCTAAAAATCATGGTTATTTTATTGCAACATTTTTTTGTGTTTGGGTAGTTTTTGTGTAACCCAGCTCCTGGGACATGAGAGTCGCAACAACCCAGTGTTTGTAATGAGCGCAGATATTTTGCATTCTCTTCAGGTGAGAGTAGTTCTCAGTGCCGCCGACTTGCATTTCTTTGGTCAAATATAGGTTTGTGTATGTTTTATTTAATCTATAAAACAGTTTCTTTGCTGTAAATCATTTTATTTTATGCAAAGCAAACCAAGTCACCTAAACAAGCCGCATCAGTCTTTTTGCGACGTTTCATTTTTACTTCTAAAATGCTTGTTAAACGAGTTTAAATGTAAGAAATGTTGTATACATGTTTAAACGGTAAAATATGTTGTATTAAGAACTGTATTTAACTAAAAGGCATTTAGAGAAAGAAAGATATAAAAATGTCAAAATAAATGAAAAACTAAAACGAAACGAAACCAACAGCAGTTATTGAACACCTAAATAATAATAATAATCAATAAATAATCGTTTTCTAATCAATCTCAGCATGCTTTAATTTTGCATCGCTAGAGGTTTGCGTCAATAAGCTTAAATTAAAATGTCTTTGGTCTGCGCTCTGGAAGTGTTCTGTTAATTCTGCTAAACTTTAATTACTAAAACTAAAATTAAAACTGAAACTAAAC